GCTCCTCGCCTCTGAGCCATCTTGTAGCCCTGATCTGTTTCATTTACATCTAACTGTAGACTGACCTAAGTTTATACACTATTTTAATGTGCTATATTTTGATTGTGCCCCCTCACATGAGGTCAGGTGAAGATCTTTCTATTTTGGCACTCAAAAACTTTGAATTTGAAGCATTTGATGTTTTGGATTAAGGATATACTATATTGTGAAAGTAGAGGTGATAGGGTTTGCTGTTATTAAAGGCTATGATCTTTGTCAGGCATGATAGTTCACACCTTCAATCCCAGCACTGGGCAGGTAGAGACAAGTGAATCTCTGGGAGTTCAAGGCCAGCCAGGTCTAGTAGTAAGTTCCAGGACAACCAGAGCTATGTAGTAGAGAGACCTTGCTTAAAAAACAAAACAAACAACACTCTTGAGTGCTGGGATTAAAGACACGTGCCACCACCCCCTGCCAAAAAAAAAAAAAAAAAAAAAGGGATTCCTGACCGGCATGGCCAGAATTGTAGAAGGAGTGGCGGGCCACTTCCTGCCACCCAGCTCCCAGCCTCCTGGCTAGCTTATACCCCGAAATAACAACACACAAACTGTATTCTTTTAAACACTGCCTGGCCCATTAGTTTTAGCCTCTTCTTGGCTAACTCTCACATCTTGACTAACCCATTCCTAATCATCTGTAGCGCCCCACATCACAGAATAAAACTATTTCTCACATCTCCTTTACAGTCACTGGCTACAAAATATTACTGCCTCTTCTAACCTCTTATTGTAGTCTCAAATGATGCTTTCTGTGATTATGTCTTCAGAAGGCAGGAGCCAGACGATTTGTGCATTTTATTTAAATACTACAGTTACTTAGCACATGCCACAAGGAACCATGGAAGTCAGAAGCCAACTTGCAGACATGTTTTCTCCTTCCTCAGTATGAGTCCTGGGAATTAAACTTAGGAGTCCTTAGGGACCTGAAATATTGCTCAAATAGTAAAACCAAGTTAGGAGACGAAAAAGGAATGAAAGTGCAAAGAATGGGAACCGGCTCGGTGCGTGTGTAATACCATTTTGGTGTGTAATACCATTAGGTTCAGATCCCTAGTACCCATGTAAGACCCACATGTGGTCTTATATCTGCCTTTTACCTCAGCACTGGGCGTGGGGGACAGAGAGAAGAGAATTGCTAGGGTTTGCTGCCTGCCTTAGCCTGTCTGGAAAACATCTCCAGGTTGAGTGAGAGACCCTGTGTCAAGGGTTCTAGCAGGACACCTGACATCCTCCTCTGGCAGGGCATTCCATGGATGTGTGTACATGCACAAAAGCACATGCTCTAAAGCCAAGTGCAGACCAAGACTTGGTGGTGGATGCAGGCCAAGTAGACAAGGTAGGAGCAACATAAAGGAAAATGTGTGCTGTTGCGTCAGATGGTATAGGTGTCTATCACAGAGAGCTTGACTGTTAAGTGGTGTGTTGTTTTTATCTTGAGATAGCTTAGTCAGGGTGTGGTAATATACTGGCCACAGTTTGTCTCTAAGAAACAATTATATTTCTGCTAAGGAAGAGCTGTTGTGTGGGGAAATTATACTCTTATTTTGTTTCAAATTTATTAGCATACAAAAATGTTTTTTTTCTTTTGGATTCTGGCAAGAAAAACACCCAATTGAAAAAACATCTGGTGTTGGTTGAGTGAGGGAATGGCAAACCTTGTAAAAACTATTTATAGGAAAAGTATTTTTTAAAATTTCTCAGCCAGGTGGTGTGGAGCACACCTTTAATCCCAGCATGCAGGAGGCAGAGGCAGTAGGATCTCTGAGTTCAAGTCCACCCTGATCTACAGAGCAAGTTCCAGGATAGCCAGTGCTATACAGAGAAACCCTGTCTCGAAAAAACAAAGCAAAACAAATCCATCTTTAATTATGGGTTTCTCTATGACTATTCTCTCTTAACCTTTCCCCAAAGTGTTCCTACTGCTATAAGATTTTACTTGTCCCAGGCTACTAGTTTGTTCAAATTTGTGAAAAGGAGACCACAAGTTATACATTTTCTTTCAATGAAGTGCCATTTTTTTTTAGTAGTTGCTGTCCTGTACCCTCTTAACGTTAAGTACCATTGAGTAGCTTACAATAATTAGCTCACCCTGGCAGTTGTGCTTGTCTTTTTAAAAGGTCACTCAGCAGGCTGCATCCCTCTTGACTGTTTCTGGAGTGTGTAATAGGCCTTTATTAGAGCACAAGACCGGTGCTGCTGTCAGCTGATTCTGGCTTCCACGTGATTGTCCTCCTGAAGTCTAGCCTAGACTTCTTATGTGATAGCAGGAGTGATTCCGGAAGATGCCGCTATGTTCCTTAGGCCAGTCCTTGGAAAGCACTCATTACCACTGCACAGTGCTTGTTTTTTTTAAGCCTTTATGTGTTTGGTCTGTGTGCTCACGGCCACGTTCATCTGTGTGAGTATGATTGTGCGCGTGCCACAGTGGGCTTGGGAAAGTTAGAGGACAACCTTACGGGTCACTCATCGTCATTGTAGCTGTTCTGTGAGCCCCTGAGATTCTGTCTGCCTCCCATCTGCCTGACACCGCCCATCTGGCTTTAAATGGATTCTGGAGATTTGAACTCAAGTTCTCATGCTTGGGTAACAAGAACCCTTCCCACTGGATAGTCTCCTCAGCCTTGTCTTTTCGTTGTTGGTTTTGGTTTTGTAGAAATGGTCTCAGTATTTAGCCCAGGCTAGCTTCAAACTCATGATCCTTCTGCATTTGTCTCCCAAGCATTGTTGTTGCAGGCATGGACTCTGTAGCCAGCTGAGAGCTACCTTTCAAAGCTAAGTAACTCCTCAGTGTATTTCCTTCATAAGGAAAGGTGGGAGCCTAGAGGCTTCTTTTTATCTTAAACTTTCCACTTACATGCATGTAACACATTTTATTATCCATTTATTTGTAGTTGGACACTCAGCTTACATCTGTCTTTGGGCTACTGGGAATAATACTGAGCCTGTGACCAACAATTTGATGAAAATACCCGTATTTATTATTTTGAGACATGGTCTTTCTGTGTATCCCTGGCTGACTTAGAAGTCATTGTGTGGTGATATTTCATTTTTATTTTAATAAATAAAGCTTGCCTGAAGATCATAGAATAAAACAGTCCCACTGCTCAGCCTTACAGACCAGGCAGTGCTGACACACCTTTCATCCCAATAGCCACACTACTTTGCCTTAGAAACTGGGCAGTAGTGGTGCACGCCTTTAATCCTAGCTCTAGAGAGGAGAGGAATCTAAAATGGGAGGAGACAGCTCTCACACACAGTCTTATTCTGAGATTCCTGGGGACAGGATCGCTATTTCGGACTGAAGTAGAGGTAAGAGCCAGTGGCTGGCTGTTTTGCTTTTTCTGACTTTCAGGTTGAACCCTAATTCTCTGGGTTTTTATTAATTGTGTACATCAGTGTGTAGATTAGGCTAGCCTCAAACTAACACATCTGCCTGTTTCTGCTTCCTGAGTGCTGGGTTTAAACATGGGGGTCACCATGTCCTGCCAGATGAAAATATTGATCTGTACAGTCCAGTATTTAGTGATCTTAAAGTAGAATAAATACAAAGATATCTGTACCTGGCTAAATTGTTATCAAACTGTTTTAAGACAAATCTGGAAACAAAAAGAAAATAATTTATACACAAAGAAGAGCACTGTGGTTAACAGCTGACTTTGATCAGAAATACTGGCTATTCAGATGTGATGTGTACCCGCAACCCAGTCTTTGGGAGTCCGTGGTAGGATCTCTAGCCTGAAGCAAGCAGAAGGAACAGTGAAAAGCCAGAAAGCGTTGGATGATATTCAGTGTTTCAGAAAAAAACATGATCAAGATTGTGGGGTTGGGTGTTGCTTAGCAGTGGAGCCTTTAGGCAGCATGTGTAGGGCTCTGGATCCAGTCCCCAGCACCACCAGAAAGAAAATAGAATTCTAGCTAGGCTTGGTTGTCGTATGCCAAAAGTCACAACCAGAAAAGCTGAGCGGTAGGATCCCTTTATATGTTAGAAAGTAGCCCAAGCAATGCAGTGAGACTCTGCCTCAAAAACCAAATAACTCAGGAGGCAGAGGCAGGTGGATCTCTGAGCATTCAAGGCCACCCTGGTTTGCAGGATGCCTTCTGTGAAGGGCTCTGAAGCTGTACAGAGAAACCCTTTCTTGAAAACAAACCCAAAACAAACAACAACAACAAAAAACCCCCCAAAGAACAAAAGCACTTATCTGTGTATTCAGACTCCTGAGACTTTAAACAGATAACCTTAAAAAATGGAAGCATTTGTGTGTAAGTCATGGTCCTATACTGAAGAAAGCTTTAGTGTCTAGAACCCTTACAAGGAACCCTTGCTAGTCAATAAAACAGCCCAGTTCTAAGGTTAAAGGATTTGAATAGGAATAGAGCTGGTTGTGGAAGGCTTGTCCCACACACGCACCGTCCCCAGCGCTGGATAGAACATCACAGACAGGTGCAGGCAGGAGCATAGAGAAATGTGAGCCTTTGTTTGTGATAGAAACATAGACTGGTGCAGTCACTGCAGAAATCAATTTAATGACTTCTTAAAATTTTATCCAAGTGTCACATTGCCTAGATGAATTAAAAATAGGTATTCATGGCCAGGCATGGTGGTGCACACCTCTAATCCCAGCACTCAGGAGGCGGAGGCAGGGATCTCTGAGTTCAAGGCCAGCCTGGTCTATGGAGTGAGTTCCTGGAAAGCTAGTGCTGTTTTCTCAAAAGAAAAATCCAGAAGGCGTGTTAACAGCCAAGGTGACCACTAATGTTTTCTCAAAAGAAAACAATGCTGGTGCTGATAGCAGTATTCACAACATCCAGAAGGCGTGTTAACAGCCAAGGTGACCACTAACATGAATGAAGAAGGGACCGTGAGAAGAGATGAGTACTGACAGCAGTGCAGTGTAGATAAATCTCAGCGCCATTATTTTTTACATTTTTTATTGATATCTATTAGCTCTACATTTTTCTCTGCTCTCCTCCCTGCCTTTCACCTCCACCCTTTAATCCTCCCCCAAGGTCCCCATGCTCCCACTTTACTCAGGAGATCTTGTATTTTTCTACTTTCTACTTCCCATGTAGATTAGATCTATGTAAATCTCTCTTAGTGTCTGCATTGTTGTCTAAATTCTCTGGGAGTGTGATTTATAGGCTGGCTTTCTTTGCTTTATGTTTAAAAAAACACCTATGAGTGAGTACATGTGATAATGTGTCTGGGTTACCTCACTCAAAATAATTTTTCTAGCTCCATCCATTTTCCTGCAAAATTCAAGCTGTCGTTATTTTTTTCTCCCGGTAGTACTCCATTGTGTAAATGTACCACATTTTCTTTATCCATTCGTTGGTCAGGGGCATTTAGGTTGTTTCCAGGTCCTGGCTATGACAAACAAAGCTGCTATGAACATAGCTGAGCACATGTCCTTGTGAAACAATTGAACATCCTTTGGATATATACCCAAAAGTGGTATTACTGGGTCTTGAGGAATTTGTTTCCTAATTTTCTGAGAAATCGCCACACTGAACATCCAAAGGGGCTGTACCAGCTTGCATTCCCACTAGCAATGCAGAAGTATTCCCTTTACCCCACAACCTCTCCAGCATAAGTTGTCATCAGTGTTTTTGATTTTGGCCATTCTTACAGGTGTAAGATGAAATCTCAGAGTTGTTTTGATTTGCATTTCTCTGATGACAAAGGATGTTGAACATTTTCTTAAGTGTCTTTCAGCCATTTTAGATTCTTCTGTTGAGAGTTCTCTGTTTAGGTCTGTACTCCATTTTGGGGGGGGGTATATGATCTTTTGGTGTCCACTTTCTTGAGTTCTTTGTATATTTTGGAGATCAGACCTCTGATGTGGGGTTAGTGAAGATCTTTTCCCATTCTGTAGGCTGTCGTTTTGTCTTGTTGACCATGTCCTTTGCTTTACAGAAGCTTTTCAGTTTCAGGAGATCCCATTTATTGTTTCTCTCAGTGTCTGTGCTGCTGGGGTTCTATTTAGGAAGTGGTTCCCTGTGCCAATGCGTTCAAGTGTACTTCCCACTTTCTCTTCTATAAGGTTCAGTGTGGCTGGCTTTATGTTGAGGTCTTTGATCCATTTGGACTTGAGTTTTGTGCATGGTGATAGATAAGGGTCTATTTTCATTTTTCTACACATTGATATCCAGTAATGCCAGCACTACTTGTTAAATATACTTTCTTTTTTCCATTTGATATTTTTTGCTTCTTTATCAAAGGTCAGGTGTTCAAATATGTGTGGATTGATATCTGGGTCTTCTATTGTGTTCCATTGGTCCTCCTGTCTGTTCTTATGCCAATACCAGGCTGTTTTCAGTACTGTAGCTCTGTAGTAGAGTTGGAAGTCAGGGATTGTGATGCCTCCAGAAGTTCTTTTATTGCACAGGATTGTTTTGGCTATCCTGGGTTTTTTGCTTTTCCATATGAAGTTGAGTACTGTTCTTTCGAGATCTTTGAAGACTCAGAGCCATTTTGAAAAGAGATCAGTGATGCATAACACAGCATGTTACGATTCCCTTTGTATGAAGTAACCAGGCATAGGAAAATTCATGCACTGGAGAAAAGCAGTGGCTGTCTGGATTATAAGGAACAGTGAGGCTCCCAAGTGATTTCTTAATGGATACAGAGTGTTCTGAGGGGATAAGGACATTCTGGAGCTAGGAAGATGGTAATAGCGCAGCAGTTTTAAGTACATTAAAATGTACTAAGATCCCACTAAAATGTACACTTCAAAACAATTGTTACACAAATTTTTCTCTTTAAAAAAGGTTTTTGGCTGGGCGGTGGCGCACACCTTTAATCCCAACACTCTGGAGGCAGAGGCAGGCAGATCTCTGAGTTTGAGCCTGAGTTCCAGGACAGCCAGGATTACAGAGATTAAACCCTGTCCTGAACTAAAACTTAAAAAAAAAAAAAGAAAAGAAAAAAAATTCTGTGTCAACTTTAGGGGTTTGTGGAAATTTACATAAGAAATAAAGTATTTCTCTGGTGTTTCCCTCCCCATGCTCTAAGACATCCCTCGTCTACCCTTGGACATCAGAGCTCCTGAGCTTTTGGACATCGTCTCTACATGCTAATAATCTCCAGCATTAATTTCTCTCTCTCTCTCCACACACACACACAAATACATAGGTGCACAGACCTACTGATAATTGTTTCTCCATAAAAACTTTGTTATTCAGAAACTGAGGCATATGAATTCAAGGCTAGCTTGGGCTATAGATCAAGACCCTGTTTTAAAAACTAAAAACCAAAGCTCAAAACATTAGAGGAAATTTTTTTTAAATCCCTAATAAGCAAGCACCAAGACATTTGTTTGCAGATCTATCTTACATGAATTATTAAAAGCTGTTCAAACTTACAGAATATGGTACCAGATGGTAACTTGAAGAAAAACCACTATGAATGTTAGTTACAGAGGTAAATATAAAAGACTATAAATAAACTGTCCTTTCATTGTCTTAGCTAAATTGAAAGTTGTGTAATTAAGAACTATATAGTTTTTGGTTTATCAGATTAATATATAATTGTAAAAGAAGAGAGGAAAAGTAGAGTTCTTGTCGTTTCTGTATTTTATAGAAAGTGAGCAATCTGAAATATGTTGTGACTAGTTAGGGTGTATACTGGAATTGCTAGAGCAACCATTAGGAAAATAATTTTAAAAACATTTTTTAAATGAAGAAATTAAAGCCAAGTGGTGGTGGTGCATGCCCTTAGTTCCAGCACATAGGAGGCAGAGGCAGGTGGATCTCTGAGCTCCAGGACAGCCAGGACTACACAGAGAAACCCTGTCTTGAAAAAAAAAAAAAAACATAAGGGAAAAATAATTAGGAAATAGAGAGATGGTTCAACAGTTAAGAAACTGTTCTTCCCAAGGCCATCCTGGTCTACAGAGTGAGTTCCAGGATAAGGGTCCAAAGCTACAGAGAAACCCTGTCTCGGAAAAAAAAAAAAAAAAAACAAAAACCAAACAAAAAAATAAAATAAAAAGAAACTGTTCTTCCTTGCTGCTGCTGGTGACACATGCCCCTAATTCGGCACTCTCACCAGAGACAGGTGGGTAAGTGAGTTTAAGGCTCTCCTGGTCTACAGAAAAACCAAAAGGAGAAAAAAAAGAAGAAGAAGAAAAGGAGATTTGTCCTCCCAGAGGAGCAGCTCTGATTGCCAGCACCTGCATGGGCAGTTCACAGCTGTGCAGAACTCCAGTTCCAGGGGATCAGCCTCCCTCTTCTGACCTCTGTAAGCACCAGGCATACATGTGGTGCAGAAACACAAACCAGAAAAACCTCATACACGTAAATAAATCTTTAAAAGGAAGGCATTATAATGGACAACAGAAAATATCTATTCAAAAGCATCAAGGAAGTAAAGGAGGAATAGCATTACTGAGATGCTCTGCTTTTAACCCCCAGCTTTACCATCAGGGTGTGACAAAGGCAGTTTTTGAGAATCAGGCACATCCTAGAAAGGAACAAAGCAAAATCACTCATTCACCATTGAGTACCTTGGAAGCTGGTAACAAAATCAAGTACAGCCCCCAAGAGAAAACGCCATGCTGGCCCTTTAAAGAAGCACAGGAGATGGCACTCAGGGCCGTTCAGATGGAAAGAAATAAAATAGCACATTTAGAAACACGTAGACTGAGAGATGCGCCTAATCAAGGAGAAATGGGTTAAACGTGTCAGTCAAAAGGCATATATTGGGGGCTGGAGAGATGGCTCAGAGATTAAGAGCACTGACTGCTCTTCCAGAGGTCCTGAGTTCAATTCCCAGCAACCACATGGTGGCTCACAGCCACCTGTAATGAGATCTGGTGCATATATGTAAATAAATAAATCTTTTTAAAAAAAAGGCATATGTTTTTTAATGATTGTGACTGGGCCTGGTGGTACTTACCTTTAGTACTAGCACTTAGGAGACAAAGGCAGGTGAATCCCTGTGAGTTTAAGGCCATCATGGTCTGTGTAGTGAGTTCCAGACCAGCTAAGGCTACAATAGTGAGATTCAATAGTGGTTTTTTTTGTTACTGTTTAATTTTTTGAAAGGCTTAGGGTGTGAGAGTAGATAATAGGATTGAACTTGATGCTGTGTGGAGAAGATAGACTGGGCTCAAAGGCACAGAGGTTAAAAACAAAGGGATGGAAAGATGAAGTGCCGGGTATGCTGGAGCTGGGAATCCCCGAATGAAGTGGGATCCCTTTACAGTAGCATTAAAAAAAATAAAATACTTTTAGAAATAAAATTTAAAGCTTATGTACTGAAAAACTATCAGTTACTGGCAGAAATCAAGGTAATCCTAAACAAATGCAGACAATCCATGTTTCTAGTTTGGGAACTCATTGGTTTTGGGACAGCGGTGCCCTCCAGCTCTGTGAAAGGCTCTCTCTAGTCAGTGTTCAGTGAGGATCTCTGTAGTCCTAGCTGTCCGGAAACTGCTGTCTAGATCAAGCTAGCTTTGAACTCAGATCCATCTACCTATGGGGTCTGTAGCAGGAGCTCCAACTGTAACTCAGAGAACAGAGAAAGTCCCTTTAACAGACCTGGGAGAGGGACTTCCGCCATTAGAGTTTAGGGAACTTTTGAGGTAGGAGGGGAGGGGTTTCTGGATTAGTGTAGGCGCTAGATTGGATTTAAGATTAAGGTAATTTAGGAAGCTGGTGTATTTTCTCACCATACCTTGGGCCTTTATATCTGGCTATGGATCCCCATTGTGAGGAAGGTAAGAGGAAAACCTTTACTGATTGGTGGTAGGGCACACTCAGGCGGCAGAGACAGGCAGAGCTCTGAGTTTGGGACCAGTCTGGTTTATAGAGTGAGTTCCAAGACAGGCTCCAAAACTACAGAGAAACCCTGTATTGAACCCCACCCCCAAAAAAGGGGACAACTGTCAGCCATCAGTTCTCTCCTGATGATGGCTCCAGGGTTTGAACTAGGTCACCAGACTTGGCAGCATTTACCTCCTAAATCATTTTGCTGGCTCCCCACTTTTTTTTTTTTTTTTTTTTGACCTTTCTCCAGAGGGAATTGCCTCCCACCTGTGAATGTGATCAAATGTTAATGCCTGATGCAATGGCTTTTTTTTTTTTTTTTAACAGATGTTCTCAAACAGTGATGAAGCTGTAATCAATAAAAAACTTCCCAAAGAACTCCTACTAAGGTACGTCTGAGCCCTAATTCTGTTTCGGTTGGTGGTGTAGTGTACATCGTGCTTGCATGTTAAGCATAAACTTGTTGCGAGTGTTCTGTTCCCAGTGTTCCAGTGTCAGGAGAGACCAGCCTTCTGACACTGTCCTCTACAGATGTGTTAGGGAGACTCAACTCACAGGCTAGACCTGCTTGGTCTATATTATCTGGAATTTTTAATTTATTGTAACAGTTTTTAAAAAATTGTTAGCAGTGTTTCAACTTAGACCTGCATATGATTTTGTATCTTGACTTTGCCTTATTGTAAGACAGAAAAGTTTCAATCTTTTGAAGAGAGATTCTAGGCCATACTATTTTCCTACTCCTTTATGTTTATATTAAAATGTTACCTGGACTGGGAACTACATGGAGTTATTTATTGCTCCTTGTTTTTAAAGCATTTTTATATTCCTTCTGTGGTGTAGATTTAAATCCCCACCACCAGCCTGCCTTTGCTTCCTTTGTGCTTTGATTAAAGGTGTGTGCCACCAGTGCCCAGCCACTGTTTTTTTCTTTTTGAGACAAGATTTTACCATGTAGTCCAGGCTGACTGGCCTGGAATCCCACTGTTATAGACCAGGCTGGCCTGGATGTGAGAGCTACCATGGCCTCTGCCTCTCAAACGCTGGGTTTAAAAGCATGCACCGTGAGGCCTGTCCTCTTGTTTTAAAAGTGAAAGCAATGGTTCTTTTCTTCCTTAGATTATATTTAGGATTAGGATTTTACAATGCTTTAATTTGTAGAAACTACATTGTAGCACTATCCATGACTCAAAATGCAGCCTCTAATTTAGAGATATCTCACTTAGGAATTCCCTGGGAAAAATTGACATTTGGGGAATTATTTGCTGAGTCCCTGCACAGAATATTCTGTATTTATAGGATATCATTACTGAGAAGGAAAATATATTTTCTTTTGAGATTTAACAAATTATTGTGCTCAAGGACAGGGCAGTTTCCTTTCTTCCTTTCTTTTTCTTTTTTTTTGAGATAGGGTTTCTCTATGTAGCCCTGGCTGTCTTGAAACTAGCTGTGGGGACCAAACTGGCCTTGAGCTCAGATCCACCTGCCTTTGCCTCCACCACAACTGGCCAAGATAGCTGTTTCTTAGTCTTCTTGTAGACAGGGTCTCATTCTGTAGCCCCGGCTGATCTGGAGCTCACTGTGTAGACCAGGCTATCTTTGAACTCCAGATTCTGCCTCCCAAGTGCCGGGATTAAAGGAATGTACAATCACTCCTGACTCCTAGAGACAGATTCACAGTGACCCTCACGCTTGGAGACTCCTTTGCTTCACTCACTCGGGCCCATTGCAGGAGTGCACCACTGCACTTGGGCTGAATCCTTGCATACAGTATTCAGAAGTCATTTAAACGTGGTCGAATTTATGTTCCCACCTTCTGCATCTCTTCCTTTCCACTGTTTGTGGTCATCTGCATTTTCTTTTGGATTTCATCTCTCTAAACTTACTGCCACCCATGATATTTTAGGGTAAATGTCATAAAAACCCTAAATAGTTCTTTTCATTCTGCTTTATATAGGAGACCTGATCACATGTGGATTGTGGTATTGTGTGATGTGTTGGGGTGCCGTAGACAGACAACGCTGCACAGATAAGGAGGTCTGAGTCTTTTCTGCTGTCTTCCAAGCTCCATGGCTTTCAGTCTCTTTTTTTTTAGAGAATATTAGACATCATTGGCATGGATGGAACCATTAGAAACCAGTCTGAACCAGACTTGGTAGCACATGCCTTTAATCCGAGCACTCTGCTGGGATTAAAGGCCTGTGCCACCACCACCTGTCTCTGAAGGTCATTCTTGGCTACAATGTAAATTCAAGACCAGCCTAGGCCAAGACTCCTACTCCAAACATGAAATTAAAATAAAAAATCTGAGAGTGAACATTTTCTTGTTTAATAATGAGCAATATTAATGTTCCACTTCATCAGTCAGAGCATGAGAGGCTTTTTTTCCTGACCTCAGCAGCTTGCTTGCTTATTTATTTATTTATTTATTTATTTATTTATTTATTTATTTATTTATTATTGGTTTTTCAAGACAGGGTTTTTTTTGTGTAGCCCTGGCTGTTCTGGAACTCGCTCTGTAGACCAGGCTGGCCTTGAACTCACAGAGCTCTGCCTGTGTTTTGAGACTAGTTATAGTCCTGACTGGCCTGAACCCCTGCCTGCAAAGGCCTGGGGCGTAAAGGCATGTTGCCAGCACACTGGCAAGCATGACAATTCCTGGTGAGCTGTTTAACAGTTCCTCGTGTCTGGATCAATAAGCTAGCTCAGCACTTGATACAATACCCTGATGACCTGAGTTTGATCTCCAGAACCCATGGAAAGTAGAGAGAGAATGGATCACCAAGTTGTTCTCTGACCTCTACACAAACACGCACACTG